ATGGTGAAGCTACACCTTCACTTCCACATAGGTCTTCATGGCATAGTACTTAATTAATTAATTAAGCAGAGGGACAACTTCATTATTATTATTGTTGTTATAATTATATATATATATAATTGCAGAGAAAAAGCACTCTTCATTCAAGAGAAACAAATAGAGCAAACAATGAACATATTTCAGCAGAAGGTTAAAATTTCAGATGCTGCTGAACTGTAAATTTCTCTTTTGTGAATCAAAAGTTCATGATACTTAACTGCATGACATGATGCTTATCATTAAGATTGTGCTGTAACCAGCTTGTGCATGTTTAGATGATAACATCGTTGCTATTTCAGAACAATTTATGTGAATCACCTCTCTATTTCAGCAGACCTGTCTGAATGGAGTCTATACATTGCATTAAAGAGCAATTTTAAGCTAACAAAATAATGTTGATCATACTAGTAAAAATCTTAACATGTCCCCTTGAGGCCAATTTTTAGAGTAGGGAACAGCCAAAAGTCACTCGGAGGGAGATCCTGAGAGTACAGTGGTTGAGTGATGACAGGAATGTTTTTCTCAGCGAGGAATTGCTGCACAACAAGCGATGCGTGGCTCGGTGTGTTATCGTGATACAGAAACTGCTGTCCCTGCCACTTGTCATGCCACATCCTCCGAACCGCATCACACAACCTCTGCAAAATTTGCACGTAGAAATGGCCCGTAACAGTACCAATTTCTTGCTCCAACTCTGCGATGGTCATTCTTCAATCACATCGAATCAGTTGTTGCACTTTTCAACAATTTCTTCAGTTCTGGATGTCGAAGGTCTCCCGCTGTGCTGGTCATCCCCTAACGTCTCCTGCCCATTCTTAAACTGGGAAAACCAGTTGTAAACTGCGGATTTCTTTAGTGCAGTATCACCGTAAACTTGCTGCAGGGCCAATAGCGTCTCTGAAGCAGATTTTCCCAATTTGCACATGAACTTGATGTTCGCACGCTGTCCAAACTGCGACATTGCACCAAATGACCAACACTCATGTCTATTCAAACGGAACAGTAACGACACCGCACACTGAAATCTGTCCAGACCTGTTGTGCCTGCGAGCAGACAAGCTGAGCTTCCCACCACAACAGTGTGTGTGTGTATCTTATTGCTCGTTCTCCATCTGCAGGGGAATTCTGGGAACTTTTTGACTGACCTACATACAGATCAGCAATGGTGCTGCATCACTTGTAATTACAAGTTGTGTGGTAAAGCAGTCAATAAATTCAATCATCCGGTCCATACCCTGACTACAGTAGTCACCCCCACATGTGACAATATTTTACAGAGAACAAGCTTGAGATTAATACAATACATTTCTTATGGTTTTATTTCATGTGTTATGGTTCTAAATATAGCAGTGCCATCGTTTCGAGGCCATATGATTAATTTAAAATTTTTAAATGATGATTTCTCCTCTTATCTCCTATGTTGATCTGGTGAATAGAACTATTGCTAGTGTCCAGGGATCAGTTCCTCCATCTGCTGGTCCACACAAAGCAAGCTTCGTACTTTAACCTGATGATGGAAGCAAAACCATCTTCCAAAATGTTATTCTTCTCTAACTGATCAAGCCAGTGTCCAGCATATATGTCAGTTTAATTATGCACCTTTGTCACAGACCTTTAGGTTTATTACGTACTATTAGAGTTCATTCACACATATATAACTTGATTTTGAAGGGCATGTGAATTCAATCAAGCAGTCACACACATCAATGGTGTTGCTGTCATAATACATATGAGGTCTGACAATAAAGTTCATGAACTCACCACCACGTGCTTGCCATGGCAGCAGTGCACAGAAACCTCAGTATGGTTTGATAATGTTGGCATATCAGCATTTCACAGCTGTGTTATTGTTGATTTATGGCAGTCTCTTTCTGAGTGGTGTCTATTATTGTCTGAGTGTGTTTCAGTGTGCCATCGCAAGAATGTTGGAGCTTGAATTAGAACAATGTCTGTGAGGGAGTTTTTAGCTAGTAAACAAATAAATGTGCTTGAACACACTCCCTATTCTCCGGATCTAGCCCCCAGTGACTTTTTTCTGTTCCCAAAGATAAAGGACATATTGAAAGGAAGGCATTTTGATGATATTGATGACATCAGGAGTAATATAATGGCAGCTCTGAAGGCCACTGAACAAAACCAGTTCCAAAACTGTTTTCAAGGATGGACTAGGTGCTGGCATTAGTGCATAGTTTCCCAAGGGGAGTACTTTGAAGGTAACCACAGTGATATTTAGCAACGAGGTATGTAGCACTTTTAACATGATGAGTTTATTGTCAGACCACATACATATCCAGTGGCCAATTACAGCACTTAACTGTATAAAATCTACATGTAGTTTGGTTCAGCAGTTCTGGGAGTGCATAATAAATATCAGCCTTTTGGCTTCACCTTAGAACACTGGGAACAACCGTACTGAATATGTCTATATAGATATTCACGTACCTCCTTTGAAGAACACCTGGGAACTCTTCATGGTGTAATTCACGTTCCATGAAAAATATTAACTACAAGAGCATTCATATACCCAGTTTGACAATAAAAATGGAGCTGAAACAAGATAACTTCCACAGCAGGTAAGGGGGCTTTTCATTTCATTCATCCATGTAACACTTGTCACTTAGTGCCACCTGTAGGAACTGAGCATCTTTTCAGAAAGGACTATGTTTGATTATCCCTGATGTTGTGTCATATAAAAACCAAATAATTAAGGCAATTTACCCGTGGTCTCATGGACCGCATGTTGCAATATCCAGCCTTCTTTATGCGTCCATCCTTGGGCACTTCTGTATTAAGTGTGCCCATGAACAGACCTTTGCCACCTTTGCTGAGTGACAATTTACAAGTGCTGTACCCCTCATTGTGATCACTGTCACTAGTTGTCACCCATTTTGACAGAGTTTCAGGCTGGCTGAACTGCCACACGATATCAGTCTCACCTGTCGACACACAAAACCAGGTATGAGAAATGGTCAATAAGTAACACCCAAGCATATACTACACTCACATTATTACTTCCGCTAACATGAAGTAAAACATGGAGTCCCTCAAGATTCTATATGTAATCACTGCTGTGTCTTATTCTATGCAATACAGTCTCCACACTGATGGTACTATCATCATAATGACTGAGCTTCATGAGAACTGCCTTACAGAACTACAACATGATATCTCTGCTGTCATGAACAAATAATTTACAGCCAGTAAGCTTACTTTAAATGTTGGCAAACAAGTTCCACACTTCAGTTTCTAACAGCAGTGACTACGAAGAGTACAGTCTTGTGGGTTGTGACATCATGTTCAGTCAGTCCATTTTGGAGGAACATATCCCCATCTTCAGGGTCAAAGTGCTCAGCATGCCACCTGCTTCTGCCAGTTTCTTGCTTTGCTTATTCTTTGCTCCAAAAGTTGGATGTCATTCTGAAATGCTGGGTATTGTCTGAATTACATGATGTTACAACCTGGAAGACCATCCGCTTCATGCTCCACTAACTTTTAACTGAAAACAAGCCAAAAAACATCATGATCTAGCAATAAGAACAAAATTCATATACAAAACTTGCAAAAGGCACAGCGACTTCATTCTGCTGCATTTCAAATTAAGGTCCCTCCTATGTAGGATATGAGGTTCTCACAGCGGTGGTTATGAAGAGTTCTATCTTCTGGGATACAACGCCATTTAGTCTGCTGAAAGTTGACCAACATTTCAGAGGAGATGGACTACACGGTGTTATATCCCAGAAGATAAGACAACTTGAAGGTCCCTCCTTTGTTTAGCTAGAAAAGAATTATTAACACTGTACCATGCGTATTTTAACTCTATCATGACATGTGGATAATATTCTGTCAGACATACAATATTCTTCTGCTATAGAAAGCGCTCTGATTTATTAAAGAAATTCCACATACCACTGCACACCAGTGAATGCTACTTGGCTCCAGTACCAGTCATAACTCACGGCTGAAAAATCAGTGTTCCAGACAAAATTTGTGGTTCATGAAGTCAATGTCAGACACGAACTTGATCTTCACAGACCAGCCTCTTAACTTACAGTATATCAAAATCTACTGTGCTGGGATAGGACTGCACAACAAGCTGCCCTCAAAATCACACATCTGTCCACAGATATAAAAGTAAAGCTATCCCTGTAAGAGGCTGTGAAGGCCCATAGGATTCTGAGATGTTGAGGGTCCCACATTATGTAGACAATCGGCTCAAAGATGGCGGTAAGGCTGTCAGCCTTACGTGCCGACCGCTCTTCACTTCCCAGGAAAATTATTTAATTAATTCCTGGTACTCATTTCTGTTAGAGGTTGAGTCGACCCCAGGGCCAAAGTGCGGCTGGAAGGATTAGGCCAATTGAAAAAAATCCAATGACCTCATCGGGACGTGAACCCGCGACCTCCCGGCTTGTAGCATAGTGCCTCAACCAACTTTGCTACCGCATGCCCCGTCCAAAAATATATGAAGATTTAAAGTAGCACTAACACAATTCCTATACACTCAGGCTTTCCATTCGCTTGATAAATTTGTTAGTAAAAAATGATTAACATAGTGTGTAACTGTGTGTGTAGCTGTTATATGCATTAATCTATTAGGTATTCAGCCTTGGTAAGCAGAAGATAAAGTTATACAACAACAAGATGCATGGAGAACTGAACACCAGGATCAATGGAATGCCTCCACTTAAAGTTTTGTCCCGCATACAGAGATTCAAAGTCTTCCTCTTGTTGCTTATCACTGTCCCAACAAAAGCCTGCACTCACCTGGTCTGTATGCAAGGATGGGATCACCTTTAAAGTGTTCTTTCACCTCATCCTTCCACAATTTTATCTCACCCTTCAGTTCTTTCAGTCCATCACGGATAAGGTCCAGTGATGCAGGTTTCGGTCTGTCTCGCAGGTACCCGCCTTTGTGATCCCGTTCCCAGAACAAAACAACACGAGTTGTGTGAATCAAATGTGAAGCTGTACCACACGTCACAGCTTTCGAACTCCACAGATTGCAAAATATTCTTCTTGTGTTCATTTTCACTCAGACAAATGTCACAGGAACCTGGAAAGAGAGACCATGTTACCAAACATGTCATATAATTTCCAGTGTTGATGCACGTTTGCTGGGGAGTGACTATAATACAGAACTTGGTATAATAACGGTCCCCAAACACTGGATTCTGTGCACAGCAAAACATGTGATGGTGGCAGCTTGGACACCTTTCTGCATGACAAATGTAACATGTGTGACAGCTTTGTAGGGTTTTCTTCCATCCCAAAGAGACACAAGACTTAGTCACTGGTCAACTGTATGCAAGCCACAGTGATATACTAAAAGAATACCAAATGGGCTTCTCTTTGTTCCATTTCATACAGCCATTATGAGCCTTTCAGATCGAGGCAGTACAGGTGAAGATGATTTCAGAATGACAGGCAGAACAGACAGCAACTTATAATAAGGCTTATAGTTTCTTTCATCAATGAATATATGTACACTCTTTGGCTACAAGTAACAAAGTAACACATCATCCCCTTACTTAGAAATATATTCTGAATTTATTTACAATGGTAAATGTTTGCAAAAATATCCCTTGAATTTCTAAACTGCAAAGATCTGCTAAAATCAATGTACTTTTTATACTTCTGCTCAATGATGACATATGGTATGATATTCCAACAGTAATAAAATGTTCCTTCTATAGAAGAGAGTTATTAGAATCACAGGTGTTCATAAAAGAGAACTCTATAGAGAATTATTTAAAGAAGCTCTACATACTACTTCTAGCCAATGAATATTACCCCTGATGATATTTATAACTGAGAACTCTGAAAGATTCCAAACTCAGATGTTCATGCTGTAGATACAAGCCAAAAATTTGATCCTCATAGACCAGCTCCTAAGTATAAATGTATCAAAAGAGGGACTTTCTGTACTGGAATAAGTTACACAGTAAGATGCCCAATGGTTAGGTACTAACAATAAATATTCAGAGCTAACAGAATACCCTTTCCAATGACATGTTATACCAATGTATGCGTATTCAGCACAGTTATGCATACAAGGTCTTTACATTTACCTTTCATCATGTATTTCTCTAAATTCTGTATTTTAAACGTTTTGAAAAAATATGATGTATGCCTGTAACTTGTATTTAAGACATCCACAAATATCAAGTTGGGACTGCAATGGTACTGAATTTTGTGAAGCATATGCTTGTGAAGAGGCTTTGTTTCATTTTCGTAACATAATTATTTTTTACAGTTAGGAGTTTTTAGCCTTCCTCCCAACCCCCAAGCTGGAGGATCACCCCTTGTTGGCTGTCTGCGATTGCTTATTCAATATTCGCAGCTTCCCTCCAAAACTGGAGGACGTCTCCTCCATCTGCAACCTGAGGACGCGCCATGCCGTGGTGACAAGGGACCCACCCAACATGGTGGGAACAACGATAACAGATCAAAACCTTATTCAGGAGGAAATTAAGGGGAGACTGATCTCGGGTAACGCTTGCTACCATTCAGTCCAGAATCTTCTGTCTTCTCGTCTGCTGTCCAAAAACATAAAAATTAAAATATACAAAACTATAATTTTGCCTGTGGTTCTGTATGGGTGTGAAACTTGGTCTCTGACATTAAGGGAGGAACATAGACTGAGGGTGTTTGAGAACAAGGTGTTGGATGAAGTGACAGGAGGTTGGAGAAAACTGCACAATGAGGAGCTTCATAACTTGTACTCTTCTCCAAGTATAATTAGAATGATGAAGCCAAGGAGGATGAGATGGACAGGGCATGTAGCACGAATGGGGGACAAGAGGAATACATATAGAATAATTATACCTGGAGAACAGTACAAGTTATGAAGCACCACATTATGCAGTTTTCTCCGTCATCCTGTCACCTCAACTGTCTTCAGTCCAAATATTCCCCTCAGCACCCTGTCCTCAAATACCCTCAGTCTGTGTTCCTCCCTTAATGTCAGAGACAAATTTCCACAACCATACATAACCACAGGTAAATTATAGTCCTGCATATTCTAATTTCTTTACTGTTAGACAGCAGACAAGAAGACAAAAGGTTCTACACTGAATGATAGTAGGCATTACCCAAGTTCAATCTCCTCTTAATTTCCTCCTGGATCAGGTTCTGATTTGTTATAGTCATTCCCAAATGTGTAAACTGTGCCACATTTTCAAAACATCTGTTACCTCTCTTTATGCCATGACTTTGCCCTGTCTTCTGCTGATGAGACAGCAACATATACTTAGTTTTCTGCATTTACTTCTAGGCCAACCTCCTTACTAGTATCAATTAACGTTTGTATATTTCTCTTTATGGTACATATATTATCACCCAGTAATTCACATCATCAGCAAAGACCAACAGCTGATGTGTCCCATTTAGTTTTCCTGGACCTTCCTAATGGCACATTCTAAAGCAAAGTTGAAACAAAGTGGGGATAAAACATTTTGTTTTAGACCATTCTGGATAGGAACATTATCACACAAATGTTTACCTACAAGGACTTTACTATGCGTTTCATTTTAATACATTTTACTCAGCCTAACTAGTTTCGTGGGTACCTCAGATTCTATCAAAATATTGTACAATACATCCCTCCTAACTGAATAATATGCTTTCATGAAGTCTACGAATAGCTGATAAACTGTTATCATTGTAATCCCATTTTTTCTACAGTATCTGATGAATGCAAAAGATCTGATCAGTAGTTGATCTGTTACGTTGGAACTCACAGTTCCTCCAATAATTTCATCTATGTATGGACTTAACCTTGAGAGAATAGTGGATAAAAATTTTGTATAAAATTGATAGCAGTGATATTCCATAAAAATTACTACAGTTAGTTTTATCACCCTTCTTGTGAACTGGTACAATGATAGGCTCCTTCCACTGATGAGGGAACTTGTCCTTATTCCAAGTAGAATTAATTAGCTTATAGACCTTAGAACGTAATATTTCACCTTTTAGTTGAATAAGTTCTGCCGTAATTGATCGCTACCTAGCGAGTTATACTTTTTCAATACTAATTTCAACCTCAAAAGGGCTAGAATCGGGTACTAACAGCTCAGCTACATATACTCGTAACCCTCATAACCTACATACATTTGGGTAGTTTGAGGTTATATCTCAAAATCATAACAGGAGCCACCTCTCGGTTTCTTCTGCAAGGCAAGTACCGCAAGTACGTTAGCACACTGAAACGGGAAGTGACGTAAGATCAATGGCAGCCACCTCATCAGTGAGATCGGAGATGTTGGATGAGTTATGTTACATTTAAAGCAACACTTTTTGATGTAATAGTTTTCAGTATTTCGTAATTACATGTTTCACACTTCTAAAGTTCAAGTTTGGTAGTTTATGGAGATGGATTTCACAACTCTAGTCGTAGTGATCATATCGGTTTTCGTTGTCGATGTGAATGGAATTATGTGGAAACTTCAACCGAACGTACAGAAATGTCTGAAAGAAGAACTACAATCTGATGTTCTTGTAACTGGTGATTATGAGGTTCAAGATGCACCAGGACAAAAAGTGGATTACGTAGTATGTACAGTGAAGATTTGCATTATGAATCATAATGGTGTGAAACTGTTTCGTTTGTTGTTACCAAATCATTCCCCTCTGAACGCTGCATGATTAAACCGCACTGCCTAATAAGCAACGAAACATGTACCCTGTATTGGAATATCCTGCGTTTTTAATTTAACCCCTTCTTGGTCATGTAGTGCTTTCTTAACCTTTTTCCCCCCTGCCCATTTTTTTGATAAAGCAGTACTACCAGTATAGATTTTTTTTCAAGAACATATGTTTAAAATTATCTACATCTTAATTGTAAAAGAGTCATTAAAGGGAGTTCCAGTTTGTGAGATCTCACTCGCATTGAACCCAGCCAGTTGTCAAAATCCATCAAGGGAAACGCATATGTCAGTGTATTCATATTTCAGTATATGAAAAATGAAAAGTTTATTGTGTAAGTATATAAACTGTTAAGATGAACTTTCTTCAGTTATCCCTGGATTTTTTTTCCTGGGGAGGTGGCATTTAGAAAATTTGCATACAAACTTGCATTTTTATTACATTTTTTGTTATCACCTTTGAATATTCAGAATAGAATTAAAAAGAATAATTTTTGGTATTGTGTAATGTATGACCCTTTATTTTAATAGTTTCCAAATGTGACATATTCTTTTTGCAGATTATTTTTACAATGTTGTCAAACTAAATATATCCTGAATAGATGTCTGGGGCATCACACTAGGGCAGTCCATTCTCTCAAAATGTGATGAGCAGCAGTGAATTGTTTCATGTCCTGAACATTAGAATCCATGGAGATCATTTGTATATGTGTCTTGCCCATGAGTTGTAGTGGATCATATATATGTATACCTTGCAAATTCATTCTAAAATATGAATTTGATTTTTTAGGTAAGGGACTCCAAGGGCCACATTTTGTCACAAAAGGAAGACATTTCCAGGGGAAAGTTTTCATTTGTTACAGAGAACTATGACAGTTTTGAAATATGCTTCATATCTAGAGTTCCACCACGTAAGTACTGTAATGGTTATCAAAGTAACTTGATCTTGTGCATGAAGAGTGGCAGTGCCTGAACAGATAGAAAAGCCCCTCTTTAATTCCACAGGGTAAATAAGCAGAAAGCCATGTACAGAAGGTTTTGATTTAAAATGTCACTGTCATTTTTCAATGCAGAGAAATGTGGTTGCTTAAAAATGATTGCTTTGCAGGTTGGCTTTTGTTATGATGTTATAACAGGTCCCTGTTCATGATCTCTGTTGCTACAAAATATGAATCTAGGTAATATACTCACATTAAAAAAAAAAATAGTAGTTCTTAAAGCAAATAATGTTGGTCCCACATATCAGATGTGTCATATAACAGATCACTCTGCACTGATAGGTGACCACTGTGAAAGTAAATTCTGAACACACAGGTCATCCAATATTAACCTCACTTTTTGTTTCAATTGTATCAACAGAACAGAGGGGCATTGCACAAGAGGTGTCTTTGGTCACCAAGAGGGGTGTTGAAGCCAAGAACTATGAGGGTGTAAGTAAACATGCAATGCCTTCTCTTACTGACATGGTAATAAATTTTACCACTGTCTTTCTAAACATATTTATTGATTCCAAAACATTAAGCCTGTGAAACTCATTCTGTTTCTTTTTTCTGGGGTTGTTGGTGATTGGCCCATCTACAGCTGGTAAAGTTCTTTTCATTTATTTTATGGCTTTGGCATGGATTGTAGCTTACCACTAACAGCTCAGCACAATATGTGGTCTAGTTCCAGTAACAAATACTAACTTGGAACACTTATATGTTTAGTGTACCCTTTTCTTTGTAAAGCTTTAAATATATTACAATCACCAGTAGAGCACATGACTGATACGAGTTCAGAATTGTTTGGAATAATATTAGTATTGTGTAAGTCATGGGTATGCAGATGTGTGTTACGTTTCAAAATCTACCATACTTCCCCTAACATTGACCTCACAGCGTATATCCCTGTCCATGTTCAGTAGACCTTCAGCTCTTGCAGCCAGATGCCACTTTGAAGAACAAACAACACAGATTTAGGAATGAGGTTTATAGATGAAGCAACCAGCAGGTAGATCTGAGGGGAAAGATTGCATGCAGCACACTTAAGGCACCAATACAATGAATTACAACCATGTGCTGAAGAATGAATGTGTTTCCATCAGGACAAACAGCTGCATTTTACTGGCAGCAATGCAAAGCTGTACTACTAAACACCTGTAATAAACTGTAAACAGAAAGATGTATTACAATGCCATATGTAAATGTCTGTATCCTGTGCAGCTTGGAGAAGCTGCAAAACTGAAGCCTCTGGAGGTTGAACTCAAACGCCTGGAAGATCTGTCAGATGCCATTGTGCAGGACTTTTCGCAGATGAGAAGACGTGAAGAAGAGATGCGAGACACCAATGGTGAGTGACACTACTCCCCTGTTGTAGGGGCCAGAACCAACACTGTCTGGTTTAATAGATAAGATCCCAGAAGCTGTCATCGTCTTCTCTCTTATAATTCTTAAAATTCTATGTGAAACAAATATATGCAGACTCCATTGCCTTGTCATGAACAATGCAATCACTCCATCCATCATATGTCAGTACATAACATGCTGGATAGACTCCTACTCTTATAGTCAGATGATACAGATGTGTTGTTTCCTTTCCAACAAGCATTTGCACTGACTACAGAAATACCCCAATACTGTTTCTTGCACAGAATGCATAAAACACAAGGTGCCTGTGTGTCTGTCTACCTGACTGCATTTTTTTCTCTGAAACATGAATGAATTTCCCATGATCTACATACAAAGTTCTCAAGTAAATTTCATTTGTCTGTATGCAGTCCTATAAATCATCTATTTTACATGAAGTTCAGATCACTGGTTATTGCTGTAAAGAGAGAGAGAGAGAAAAAACAACATAAACCTCATTAAAAACTAAAATTTGTGCATCCATTACAGAGTCCACCAACAGCCGTGTGCTGTACTTCAGTATCTTCAGCATGTGTTGTCTCCTGGGATTGGCCACCTGGCAAGTACTCTACCTACGACGCTTCTTCAAGGCCAAGAAACTCATAGAGTAGTGTGTCAGAGTTTGTCATTTGCCACCTGTGGTCACACACTTCATCTCATTGACTTTTCTTTGGGTGATGTGGCTTCCCATCCAGAACTGTACATACAGTATGCTTCATTTGTTTGTTCACTGAAAATAATTTTGTATTGCATACTTTCAGGAAGAACACAATTTGGAAATTAAATTTCCTGTGTTAAACAGAGGCTGTGGAAATAACACTGACAGTTCATACAGTAAATTCCTGGAATTACATGTGGTTGTGTTCATTGTCTTTATTTTTATTGGCCATTCCTTTTAACTCTCTCACTGTTATGCACTATTGTAGTAGCACTGATTCATGGGACCTCTTATTGTCTAATATTAGTCAGTTGGGTGCTTCCAGATGCATTGCCACCTATGGAAGAATTTCAGAACCTTTTGGAATCATATGTTGTTAGCCATAAAAACAGCAATGGCGATTGGCATAGATGTCAAATCTATAGACTGTTCCATGTTGCTAACATGCATAGAAAACAGCCTAGAATCCGAAAAATGGGCTATGTCACAAACTTATTTAAAAAAAAAACATTATTTGTCAATAATTCGCTGCTATCCATGCAATTTATCCATGCTTTTGTTATAAACTGCGTAGAATGCTTTTAACGGTAGCTGTCCTGCCCCAGATCTGAACAGAAAACTAATTTTCATTATCAACATGCAACACTAATTTAACTGCTTCTGTACACATTTTGACTTTGAGGTATCATGCAGTACTGTCCATTCTAAAAAATAAAAATTTCCTGTATAGCTGGCATGGATTAATTTCTTGGTACACAGTTTTAAGAATGGCCTTGTATTTAGATGGAATATGGCTATTATCTGAAGGGGCTACACACAAAATGGGGCAGTCACACATTAGGTCTGTCAGGGCATACACCACTGCAGGTTGTCTATTACTTTTAAGGCAAGTTGAGGTAACTTGTTGGATCACGAAGCCAGTGACCAGGTGCAGGATGATGGAGGGAACGGAAAACAAATGCAAAACCAGGAGGAACAGCCAGTGTATTGGTATCTCACAGCTTACATAGTAACTAACATTCTTAACACATAGCTATAGCAAAAGTTTGTGCACACCTGACACAATGAGGCTCCCTGTCCACTGGGAAGACATACACTCAGTTACATGTGTTCAATATGATATCCTGCAAAACTAGGCTTGTGCTGGACCACACAAAATTCAATAAGCAGAGCAACATAGCAATCTGTGTGCTGCTCCCATAAGCTGACAAGAGGGGTCTGACATTAACAAATTATGTTAAGATTATGGCAGGGAGCACATGTACTTGATGTGCAATAACACACCACAGAAACTCAGTGTTTGCAACACATGCTAATTCATCAAAGGCTACTATTTCACGTTAATACTTTTTGTATTTAGTATCTACAGAAATGTGCACACTAGCTTTTGTTGTGTGATATGGATCAAAACTACAACCTCACACAATTTTTCAAATAAGAAAAACGTATACAGCAACCACTGTAACAAGAAGTAGATAAAATAAAACATGAACTGAAGATCAGAAGTAATATAAGTTATGGGAAGTGGCATTTTCACTGTATTTTGACAGGAAATAAGATAAAGAAATCAGCATGACTGGAAAAAAAATCCTATACATTGAATACTGGGGTGTACTGTTTCATTGTAGACTGAAGAAAGCCAGAATAGTTCCCGCTGCATATTTGTTTCCTTGACATTTTAAGTACAGGTCATTAATTCAAATTTCAGCCCCACCATCAGCTTATGGGTACATTACAATATTTAAAAACAATCTGAAAACAAAGCAGGACAATCATGCTCAAATATTTACAATTTCTTTGGCCTATCTTGCCTGCCTAATAACACTCTCAACAAACAAGCAGGAGATCATTCCGAGGGCATGACAGTTGCAGCAGTCCTGCCTTTTAAATACTGACATATATACTTTTACCAATCGGTGGAAGGAATCATCACCTAGGATTAGCTCGTAACTCTAAAACACATAAATAGCAACAGTGTACATGTCCTTCACCACAAAGAGCAGACAGAATGAAAACGGCACCTAAATATAACACTACAGGTGTACTGTGCTCACCAACACCAGCAAGTTCATGTTGGAAATGAGCTGTACGGGTCCTCAACTTTGTAGATACAATACATTGAAACGTGTGCAATTTCAGAGGACTGATGCATTACCATGAGAGGAGGAGCCTGACCTGCAGGCAGTGGCACTGTTCTTCCAACATCAGCTGTGAAGATGGCATGAAGGATCCGACCAGGCCTGCTAGTACACGTTGATGATGGAGTTACGATCCTTTCCTACACCAATCCACTTCACTGCAACATGTCAAATGCTTTCCATAGCTTCAAATCTCACACCCAGCAGAAGTATACAAATCAGTCGTACACTGCTTCAAGTACTGGTTTAAAGCAAGAGCCAAACCACATTCACAGGAAGAAGCACTTAACAGCAAGGAAGCAGACAGGCATACAAGCATACATACCAGGCACTTGGACTTTCTCCTCTATCATCTCGATATACTTCTTTGCATTCTGTGGTAATTTCTCATAGTCTCGAACACCTTCTATACTAGTCTGCCAGCCTGGGAGAGTGATATACTCCACCTGACAAAAATTACAGACATACACCATCACACATGGATACTGCACACACAAACATCACATAGGAAGGTTGGCACATACCTCCACAGACCCAAGTTCCGCTGTGTTGGACGGGAAGTAATTGATCTTCTTGCCCTTACTTTTGTATGACACGCCCACCTTTATCTCTGCCAGTGTGTCCAAGATATCAAGTTTGGTTATGCACATCCTGTACACAGTGAGAAAACAACTGCCAACTAAAGACCAGAAAATTAAAATGTATTCAGTACTGAATGCAATAGAAAAAGGTTATGTATTATATTAATGCTACTCTGAACATGCCCAGCAAGTGGTAGAAGTCGGATGCACCCAACAGTGACACTGCAGCAAGGACGTGTCTAGGAGATAGCTGTAATGCAGTTCTTGTACATTAGCTTATGTACAGTGAACATGTGTGTTCAATCTCATGAAGTTGTATGAATTTTTTTTTTCCGTTTGTGATCATTAAGAAGGTGGATGCTCAAACACATGTCATGTGGAATAGAAAGGACAAGAAGACCTTGAAGAGGACTGGAACAGCCAAGCTAAAGATGGCGAGATCAAGTGGGGATTAACGGGTTCCTTAGCATAATGCATGAAGAAAGAAGATTCTATTTCACCACTGTGCAACTGCTTAACCAGGCAGAAAAAAGCCAAAAACTTCTAAACAGGAGAAGATCGGTACTCATAGAGTGGTTTAGGCAGAAACAACTTTAAATATTGTGACTGAAGTCTGAAGACAACCTAAAACTGAACATGGTACTCACACCACTCAGTAGATGGACTGGTTTGTTTAGAAAGTGTGCAGGCCTCAGCTGCAGGAGCCCTGTTTCCTTCTGTTCTGAGTGAATACAATCCAAATGATGTATTTAATGCAGGTAAGTGTGGGCTATTCTTCAACTTAATCAGTGTACAAATGTTGTCTTGTATGCTGTAATATACTGAAAAGACTTAGCATTTATTGAGGGGCATGTGGTAGCATGGTTGAAGCATTATGCTACAAGCTGGAAGGTCACAGGTTCAGTTTACAATGAGTTCATTGGGTTTTTCAACTGACCTAATCTTTCCAGCTGCACTATGACCCTGGGGTCAACTCAGCCTCTGACAAATGACTACCACGAATTTTCCTGGAGGTAAAGGGCAGCCAGTGCATAAGGCTGACAACCTCACTGCCATCTGTGAGCTGACTGTCTAGGAAATGTGGAAGACTCAACATCTCAACCGTAAGGCCTCCACAGCCTGTTGCAGGGACAGCGTTCTTTTTTTTGCCAGTTAGTTAATGCAAGGCAGGGCTGACTGTCATTAAAATATTAACTTCTGTACATAAACTCAGTTCTGTTCTTTTCAGTAAAAAATGCATACTTTCAATTGTAGGTGTTCATACACCTAATAAAATCATTACTGTTTATGCCATTAGTTCCTGCATGGGGTAGAATGTCTGTCTTCTGGGATATAATGCTGCATAGTCCAATGAAAGCCAACTTACATATCAGAGGAACATGTTGCCTCCATCTTCAGCATTAAACAATACGCCAAGCAAAAAAAACAGCATAAAGAAGGTAGCAAGCCAAACATCATAACCTACAAAGTAGATAACTTTCAGTCCAGTATGACATTCAGGTTTACAACACTTGAGTCCTTATTCGCCTTACATGTTTTGATTCATACGACACAGCACGCACGTAAGCTACACAACAAACAATAAGAACGTACAACCAAGAGAAATAACTGACATCTTCTACCATCCGGAGGAAAAAACAACATGACCCAATGCTGGTTCATGATTTTTAACATAATAACTAATTTTTTACATACAAAAGATTTTTAATACAATTTTAAATACATAGGGAATCTATTTCATGGAAAAGTGAACATCACATTGCATGCAGTGGGAAACCCCAATCGAATACCCAGCAAATACGCTTAAACGAAACATCATATGTAAATCTACATGTCAACGTGGCTGCATAGGGCAAACTGTGATATAGTGAGCACTATTCATAACCTAAGTGCATAATGTTAAAACAACTTATGTGACAGTGTTTCCTGCTCGTAGTGGTGTGTCTCTGAAGATGATTCTTTTCAATCGAAACATGTAAGGCGAATAAGGACTGAAGTGTTGTAAACCTGTATGTCATACTGGACTGAAAGTTATCTACTTTGTAATTAATAGTGTGACGGACCAGAATGAGACAAATCAAATCATAATCTACATTCTAAGACGTTTTCCCACTTAAGACGTTTATATTCCTCGGCCCCTTGGGAAACCTCTTAAAAGAATCCACAGTTCATACGGATTTAAGGCTGTATTTATAGACTGAACACTTGTCCAAACCCTTGAAATGTCTGAGAAGACATGAAAAAAAAAACACCTTGGAGAGGTCAGTGGGGAGTACACTAAGGCCTTTTACATGAGACCAGAGTTTACTTACACGCTGTAGCCATTCACCATTGTTGTGTACTCAAGAAGCACCAAGTCAAGCCAACCACAGCGTCGCTTTCTCTTGGTTGTGACACCAACCTCACTGCCTCGAGTCTGCAGGAGGTCTCCAGTAGCCTACACAAAACATTGGACACAGTAGGGAAAAAGCACATAGTACTACCTGTATTGTACATCAGCATTGCCTACTCACATCCAGCAGCTCAGTGGGGAAAGGGCCATCACCCACTCTGGTGGTATATGCCTTCACAACACCAATCACTTCACCAATGTTGCATGGAGGCAGTCCCAGGCCTGTGCACACACCCCCAATGCTGCAGTTGGAAGAAGTCACATATGGATATGTTCCTGAAATTCACAGTGAGTGTCAGGTACTCACAAAGCAGACATAAGGTTCATCACAGTGAACAAGCAGGCTGGCAATATTTACCAAAGTCTATGTCGAGCATGGCTGCGTTTGCTCCCTCCACTAACACCTTCTGACCTCTCCGCAGAGCAGAGTGGACGTACGATACTGACTCCACTACATATGGTCGAATCCGCTCAGCAAACACTTTGTATCGGACAAGTTCCGCGTCCACATCCACCTGCAGGTCTGGGAACATGCGCTGATACACTGCTGCCAACCCCTGGAATCTAACAAGAATGAGGAAGTAAGGGACCAGAACAGACTTCTGCCCCAAGCTACCAGCCTCCTCCATACAACTAGTCAAAGCATATGTTATCACCATGATATCTAAAAGCAACCTGTATGTACAAAGAACCTAGCGAATTTCATCTTCCTTAAGTTTTGTGTTGCATTTATGACATAAAAATTCACAGTAAATCAAAAGTAGCCTTATGTCCTCAATGAATTACATTAACAACATTCCCTGCAAATCATCACCTGTGTTCTGGAGTTTACAATGTCCATCAACACCAATTTTTGGAAAACTAAGTCTGAAGTTAGGTTAAACTGCAGTTTTCATGTGACTTGGAACAAAACAGATTCTGAAATCTCTCACTTCTAAGTAAGGTAAACGTATGGAAATATGTGGAGATAGCAGAACACAAGATGGCAAATTGGAAAATCCATCATCTCATTTTCAGCCAAAAATGAAAATAAATGACTCCAATTGTCAGGTGTCAAGGTGAGTGGACGTAAATGACATTGAGAAAACTTTTGCGAGAATTTAATATCTCCAAAAACCATGTAACATCACTAAAGACAGATCACTTTTAGGACTACAAAATAGTTATTGTCACATGCCAACCAAATGAGGAGACCAGTGTATGAGAAACCTGTATATATTTAATTAAGATACTTCTCATCATTAAGAAGCCTGATACTGGAACTCATGCAATTCAAAGCAATTGATACGATGACAACATTTGCTGCTAAGACCCATCACTCCTCCATGCACATCCCTACAGCAACTCTCACAGAAGACTGCGCCGGAGCTCAAGTGGTTAGTCGCTGGCTTCCCACTGCAGCGGTCCGGATTCGATCCTGGGCCTGGTCAAGTGGGAGTTGTGGTAGACAAAGTGGCGCTGGGGCAGGTTTTCTCCGAGTACTTCGGTTTCCCCTGCCAATCTTCATTCCACCAAATTCTCCATCATCATAATCACCCGGGGCAGGTACAATAGGCCAATCAGTGGCTGCCATACAAAGTGGACCCAGCTGGACTCCACCCTCCACTAAGAATGAAAAAAAGAATTAACCCTCATCCATCCCTTTCATGCACATCCAACTTTAACTTCATTTCAATGCTCTATAAACATTGTAACTCCTGAAGTTCATACCTAGTAGTTCTCCCTATCATAAGAAATGGTGATTGTGATGCACCTATTTGTTTTTCTCACAAGACCTAATTTCCTCTCAGTAGACATTGTTTGGAACAAGGTATGGAACAGGTAAGTATGAACACAAATTACAGCAAAATGTCACAATCTCTATTCATCAGTGCAATATATATGTAATTACAATCACAACCAATGGTGAACTCCACTGGCGGAGCTTTCGTACCAAGTCCTACAAGCATGCATAGTAATCAGAAACATTATGTACTTCTCCACAAATTGGCTGAAGTCCCCAAGCAGGTCAGCTATACGGATCCCGTTACGTGTGGCTTTGGATGAGTATGTTGGTCCAATGCCCTTCTTTGTTGTACCAAGAGATTTCTTGCCCTTCTCAAGCTCCTGCAGCCCATCCACTTGCTGCAACATGCAGACCAAGCCATTCAGTACACACACTGTTACAAAACTGCAGGTACCTCAGGCACAACACTCACCTGATGAAAATCAAACACAATGTGAGCCCTGTCAGAGATAAGGAGGCGGTCCTTCCAATTCATCAGTCCCTTGGCCTCATTCTTTTCCAGCTCATCAAACAGGCCTGGCAGATGAATCACCACTCCATTGCCTGCACACATGTCAGCACCATTACCAGTCACTTACTGTCAGACATTCGTATGTGTATTTTGATTAGCAAGCAATAAACTCACCAATGATGCTCTTGCACTTGGGGTTGATGATTCCACTTGGCAGTAAATGGAAGTCATACTCACGGTCCTCTACCACAACAGTGTGCCCTGCATTGTTACCTCCCTGCAAGACACCACGTCAAAAAACTGCACCGAGCTTCATGTTTAGAACTTGCATGTACAGCATATATAACTGAATGATCCTACATTCGATTCTGCATAATGCATTATCAAGTTAACTCTTATGCCAACCATAAAGTAACAAACTGGCAACAATATAAAATCTGCATAGACGATCCAAAATGTAGGGAAGTGGGGAGAGGAAAGAATAGAGATGGACAAGAAAAGAGAAGAGGAGGAGGTGGATTTCAAATGCTTTCTAGGGTGAACGCCCCAATTTATTCCTTTTTCCAATTGTTCTCTTTCCTGCACTCCCAAAGGATCAGCCTTTTACACTGATCTATATGTCGTAGTCATTTAGTCTGCCCTCTCAAAATGAGATTGGCCATTGAAATTTCTATTTCTGTCTCCACTGGGTATCACGTGACAAATCAGGAACTGGAGCAGTTTTCTCTGACCAGCATCCATATTGTAGGTATGAGCAGAGGCTACTGGGTAGTCACTATGCATTGAAAATAAAGATAGTATGAACTTCTAAAAAGTTTGCAATACAGCCTGTTTCAACTAAGTACCACCACCTTGGTTATGTTAGGTCTAGTTACCATAAATAAAAGCCCAACTGAGCTATGGGAAATCATAGTCTCTATACAGATGTTCTATAATTATCAGTCTGAATTCCTATTACACCCTCCACAGTGGCAAAAATAGTTCTTAGTGAATACATGTGTTAAAAATAGCTAAATGGTTCTGACAATGGGGCATAACACTCAGGATTACTGGGTTTTTGGACTTTATGTATTATCTGATAATCTAGAGAACATAAACGAACACAACATTTTGAAAAATGGATCTGTCTCACCTCAGGTGAGGGGTGGGAGACACCTACCATGTTGGGTCTGTTAGAAAGAGGTAACCACCATCTGTAGACAGTATAATTATAGCTACATAAACATTTCAGATAAGGGTTTGTCAATAGGAGATAATAGGAAAACTTTTACTATACATTTTCCTGGCATCTCCCATTGACAAAGCCTGATCTCAGGTATTTATATAGCTGTAGTTTTACTGATAAATGTTGTCCAGAGACTGAGGTCAACTCTTTCTAATGTATCAACTACTCCCACATGAGGACAGAAACAGATCCAGTTTCCAAAACGTTGTGTTCTTATATCGGACGATGGAGAAGGTCCAAAAGACCAGTAAGCCTAAAGTGTTCTGAAGTTAACAAACGGGTACCTTGGCCAAGTAGCTCACAATTAAGTTGCTTGCATGCAATTAAAATCACAAACAACTGTCATATAAATCTACCCATTTCGGCAGCACAAATGTGGAGAAAGTAAACGCAAAATTAACCTATTTTGTAACGGATCAAACCTCCGTATAAGGAGGCCGTAAGTAAGGCACGAATGTTAACAGGATGAGGCTTGAATCGTCGTAATACAGAACTCATACACGACTCTCCCCGTACATTTAACAAAACTGATTAATGCTTACTTATGCAAAATATTAAGTGCATTTTAAAATGTGACTGAATGCACTGTGGTCCTACCAGACATTACAGAGCGATTCTGGTTTCTGTCGAGGTTCGTGCAATGGAATTTAGTTTCAGTACCTTACCTGGCATCGACACACAATATCGGCATCTGTTGCCAACATATCTACAACTTTTCCTTTTCCTTCGTCGCCCCATTGTGCGCCTAAAACAACTGTCACCTTAGACATATCATTTCGTCTTAGCCTTTTCCTAGGCGAGGCCTGCATTTGGCCGTTCATCTCCTCAAAACTCTCCGCCATCTTCGTGCCCACGGAAAAAAGACGACCACGGTTCCGCAACTTCACCCATGTCGCCGCTTGGTACGGACGGATATAAGCGTTGTCAAGGTTATGTTATGTCACTGATTTAAGCTTGTATGTCATTTTGATTTGTGACACCTTAAACAATCTCTGCCAATTAAAGTGCAAAGAAACTGGGTCATGGGTGTTCACAATGTCAGTGCAAGTAGACGTACACAAATGTTTCTCATGAAAATGCAACAAAGTCTCATATGTAACACAACACAAGTATACAAATGGTTTTTTCCAGAACACTGAAAGCTATCAACTAGACGGCGTCATGTCACAGTCAACAGAAATATGCTGTTAATCATGGAACTTCAAATCAGACGTGCAGTTGTTATGTCCAACAACCGCAATTCATGGGCAGATGGATTTGAACTATTTTTTTTTTGTTGCATTTATACGTAGGATTATAAAGTCCCCAAAGACCCTCATTCTTGCCATATTTTTCAGTCTACTAACTATATATAACTCAAAATTTTACATAAACTTCCACCAAGTGTCTGGCCTAATATCAGCAGGGATGTCATGGTTCGCAAGAGGTAAGCACTCTCACCTCCTTACAATGTAAACTCTTATTTGATATGTTCAAATTACTGTTTGACTGGTTTACTCTTTGATCCTGAAGATAGAGGTGATATGTTCCCGTGAAACTTGTGTAAACTTGCACCAGGCTACATGACAAGACTTCCCAGAGAACAGTACTCTTTAGACTGGTAGTCTTTATGGTATTTATTATCCACAAGCTGAGATCTGAGTTGTCTTGCAGGTAGATGGATACAAACACTTTGAAGGATCACACTGTCTCAATCTTCAAGGTGACACAGTATGGTGGGACCACAGTTAGGTTATATAGCAAGTTATCTTGGAGAGCAGAAGACTGAGCCCAGAGGAAAACATGTTTCTCTGAAATGTTACAGTCTGGTTACAACACCAAAGGAATGTCACAAACTGAAAGATCACTATCAGAAAGTATTTAAGTTTTGAGAAAGCAAATATGAATTTGCAGCAGAATTCGAAATAAAATTTACAAATGTAATATGCATTATAATGAAATGTAGAAAGGAAAAGTACATCATAACAAGTGACATGAAGCAGCTTATCATGACTGGGACAGCAGTACAGATCAGGGGCATCAGGGATGGAAACCAAAATACTGTTCTGCCCATGGAGCTCTAAGTACCATGCTTGTTCATAACAGAAATACATACAGGCATCCTACTTTTTCTGAAACCATACTTGGTTTCTGGCTTGAGGTTGCTACAATGAAAAAAGTAAAGAACTTCCTTACCCCAGTTTTCAAAATAAGTGGCTCTTGCTTATTTCTTAAAGGAGGCACCAATTTATGGATTGTACTCTGATTTTATTCATATGTCACTGAAAATGTCTAGAGTCAGTACATTGGCTGTGGTGTGTAAGCGTGTCATAACTGTGTCAGCAATGATGGCTACATGAACCTTTTTCATTACTTGTGGATCACATTTTGTTCTTCCAGGAGTGCATGGCCTTCGCCATCCATATAGACAACACGAAACAACAGTTTGATGGGATATGGTTTTTAACCTCATTGACATTTAGTTACTTGTTCTGTACATTGCAATGATGTCTTGTATAAACAACCATGTGAGGCATATGACAATGATTCACAAGGTCAAAACCATTCCATGATAAGTCTTTTAAAAGGAAAACTAACTTCTCTTCATTTACTTTTCCACGTTAAGTTTCCATTACTCAACACACAAAAATAACATCATTATTTTTAAACTTAACAGGCAAAACAACTATGGACTATAAAAACAATAAACTAGCACCAAGAAATTAGGCTTTCCAAAGGAACTACTGCAACAAATTCTGTCTGCTGTAATCTACCCTGACTCAGTTCAATTTCTCACATTTTGTTCCAATAACAGAACTGTTATTCACAAAATCAAGCATGTCTTACAATATGTACCCATTTAAATTCAGCGAGGACAAAACTGAAATATGTTCAGAAAAGCCTTCTAATATTCAGAATCAGAAATGTCTATGTGGTAAGATTCAAGTGCATCCCTTGCATAGCCATAATCACAACACACTTTACTTTATTTACATATGGTTCATGTAATAACACTGTCAGTAACTTGGACTGTGACAGGATGATTAGCAAATAATGGATCGGGACAGTAGCATGGGGCACCACATTCGAACAGCAACTTGGCAGTCATTATTCCTTTCCCCACACTCTGAATGAGAGCAAGAACTTATCTAGCAGCTATATTATCCTGGTATTTGCCAGACAGGCCTGAGGAAAATTATGAAACCCTCACCCTCCATATTGAGATTCCAACATAGGACCTCTCAATTATCAAGCAAGAGTACTATCCACTCAACAGGGATATTCTGTACATTTATTTATGAAGAGGAAATGAGGAATATATGACATGATTTTACTGAATAATCCAACTGCCTGATGTCCTGGGCTGTGGGACTCCTACTCATTCAGTTTTCACTAGCTTTCTTAATGGCCAAGAAACTTTACAGTATGTTAATTCATTCATTTTCTATATATCTGTGGGAACTGCCCACATTCAAGCAAGTGTGACAACACAAGCGTCATTGCTTAGCAACAACAAGTCGCTGAACTCTTCTGCCGAAGTGCGCCGACGTCCGTGGGTTCATCAACGCTAGCGAGTTCAGCAACTTGTTGTTGCTAAGCAATGACGCTTGCGTTGTAGGATTTATTGCAGCTGCACAGTATACACAGATGGCATCTCCTCGTCTGTGAAGTAAAAAACCTAATATGTGGAAATAGTGATGAAAAAATATCATGGCAAAATAAATATGCACAATGTACGAGTTATTGTTAAACAAATAAACAATCCATTTCATTACTAAGTGGATTCTAATAAACATTTTCTGTACTCAGTTCTGTTTATCCTATGAAAAATAAAATGCTACAACAGAACTATTCATAAAGTTATTTTACTTATCTCTTCATCATTTTTTTGTCATTTCTACAAACTGTCAATTTGTAGTGTTCACTGGGTGTTGTAAACCTCACCTTAATGTAATGCCATAACCTGGGTTCATAGGAATCATCGCTACCAGCTCCAGATCACTTGCATTTTTTTTGGCAAAATGGTTTATTGGTTGGGGGGGAGTATGAGTCTGATATACCTGTACAGAAGTTCTGTTATGATTTCACTGAGTTGATGTGATGAATGTATTTTCTGAAGACGAAACAAAAGTAGGCATATATCTCATGACACTGCTCAGACCTGTCTTGGATAGAAGGAATGAGGATAGTTGAAGGTGTAGAAAGCATATTCTAGAGTTATATTCACATTTTAATGACTTAAATATTGTCAGCAATATTTTAAGATGGTACAGAACCTATTAAACAACTAAACCTTAATAGCACAAAGGTGTAGGTAGCTGAAAATAAGTTGGCTAAAATGGTACTGAGATAGCTTGGACTTGTTAAACTGAGTGTGTTGGATGGGAATGTATGGAGAAATGAGGGCAAGAAGCAAAAGCAGGAATAACACTGGAGCACGAGACATACCCTAAACCAAGCAAACACAAATGTATGAGATGTTCATGTTCGTGCACTTTCATGTTACAACATTCTTCTGAACGCAGCCAAGAAGACTTTATTTAAGAGAGGCACTGAGAAGACAACAAATACATTTCTAAACTCTTATGGTGCAACATTTAAAAGAGAGGGGGGGTCTTAACCCATCACGACACACTAAGCACCAATGGATTACTGCCCACATCCCACATGGCAGTGTGTCTCAGTGCATTCAATTTTCAGGTACAATGACGCACACGCTATGCAATCCATATCACTTTACAAGCCTGTCACTTTCAGCTTCTTTGGACGACGTGCAGCATGTGCGGTTTCTGAATCTGATGTGTCCGACTCAGATTCATGTGGGTAACTTGACACAGAGTCTGACTTGGAGCTGACAAGGGACACCTCGCTAGACTCAGCAGCATAGTTCCCTGTCGCTTTCGCTTTCTCCAAGGTTCGAACTGCAAGCATCAACATGGTACATGCTCTGAAACTTGACCATTCCAATTTCAATTTATTTAATGTTCCATATATCCACAGTACACGTAAGATACAGAACATGTCAAAATAGTACATAATATACAGAATAAATAAAACAAAGAAACTGAATAGAATAAAATATGTTGAATCAGATAGCTGATTCCAGTGAATACATAATAATTAATACTATTAAACTTGACTAAGAAATAACAATAGAAACATTTCAACCAAAAGCTAGTCAAATATCCAACTATAAGCAAATCATAACATAGTACTCCTAAAACGTAACAAGCATGACAATATAAGGTATGATACTAGCTTTTGACTAGTCATTAACTTGTGCAGGTTTTATATTGAAAATATTCTTCTACGGAATAAAAATAATGTATATGGAGAAAATGTTTTAAATTTCCTAGGATTATGAGATACCTCTTTGATGTGGGGAGGAAGATTATTGTAGACCCTAATGCTCATACAATATGCTAACTTTTGGTATACACTAAAGTTTGATACAGGGTGACAGAAATTATTGGATTGTCTTGTACTTATATTGTGATTTTCTGAATTTAAAATAAAGATTTTTATTGTTAACCACGAAAAGCATGCAGGATTTCATTAATTAGCTTATATAGGGCATTGCCTGTTGAAGAGTCTGCTTTAAACCCATACTGTTCTTCTGATAAGATACATTTCTTCAAATGCTCAGTCACACCTAATTCTTTATACAACATTCATCTGAACTGCAACTAATCATCAGTTAATTTAAATCTGACGCACATTATCATAGGTTACACTGCAGTCACTTTAGGTCTGTGATATGAAAGCACAAATTAATGAAATGTTTCCTGGTTTTGTATTAGGCAGATGATCCATCAGAAAAGTAATAAATGTGATTTGTGTTCTGTGGAAAGGAATGGCCAAGAAACTGCTGAACAGACACCAGAGTAGACAGACATTGTTGGAATCATGGTAAAAGCAATCAGAAATTATAACACAGGAAAGATAACCGAATGCACATATTTCCAGACCTAAAACTGGCCAAGGGCGACGCACGGTTTGTATAACCTCAGTACCTGATTCTGAAGAATAAACAGTTTTCTGCAAAGTCACACAGAACATCTACATGGAAGGATAAAAAAGTTCATGGAATTAGGGTATATTTTTCAACAGAAAGGATATGTAAAAAAAAACTAACATATACAGCATACTTTAAGAGCTTTATTTCCGTAAAACACACTGAGGATCATAGGGGTTTCCCCTACAGAAGTCCCTAGTTTCTGAAAGAACTTGATGTTTGGCTGCTGTTCAATCTAAATCTTGACGAGCACCAGCACTGCACACATCCACTTCATGGCTGAGTCTCAGCCTGTTGCAACTTGCGCCAACCCCCTCCCCCAAACTTAACAAGAGTAGTTACCACGATATGACTAAATTCCGGTAGATTTATGACCCTCCTTGTACATTATCAACTATGATTTTCTACTGTCCTGGTAGGAAATAGAACTGGAGGACTGTAAAGGAACACAGAGGAAGTTGTTCTTTGTCTAAATGATTCAAGGAATTCTTCAGTAAAATCTGTGATGATTCAAGTCTTCTAACCATATAGAGCCACTTTCAAATGCAATCTCATGACTACCATTCTCATCAATCAAAATTTCAGAACTACATTAAACAGCTTAGAAAAAGGCATCTTTGGGCTTTCAAACAATCCCAAAGTAACTCTCTTTTGAACTACTAGGTACAGAGCTACAATTTGGCATTTCATTCATGTAGTCTACAGCCTAACCAAACTCCACTGAAATCCAAAGGGATCAGGGGTGTGAGCTGTGTTGATTTGTCATGGAATAAATCATAGGTGACTGGCTTACATGCTGAACATTCCTCTGCTTGGCATGTCAGAACTAAACATTTTGGTGCAGACACTGCAGGTGAGGCTCAAGGTTCTTTAGTTTTCGTGAGGTGGGAGAAACATGAAACCTGTCATGATAACCAGTCTTGAGTCCAGATTAAAATCCATGACCTCAAGAATCTCAAGCAGGAGTGCTAATGACTAGACCACGACAAATTCTTATGAGTAAGGTTGATAACACCCATACACGGCTAGCCGCTCACGACTAGTTGCGTCAGTGGGTTATCAGCTTGAACCGTAGTTGAATAACTGGCCATGAGCGACTCCGCAGCTGCACCACGTTAATGCACCATATACACTAATACAACTAATGGACGCGCACGACAAGGAGCGGCTAGCCGCTCACGACTAGTCATGTCAGTGGGTTATCAGCTTGAACCGTAGTTGAATAACTGGCCATGAGCGACTCCGCAGCTGCGCCACGTTAATGCACCATATACACTAATACAACTAATGGACGTGCACGACAAGGAGCGGCTAGCCGCTCACGACTAGTCATGTCAGTGGGTTATCAGCTTGAACCGTAGTTGAATAACTGGCCATGAGCGACTCCGCAGCTGCGCCACGTTAATGCACCATATACACTAATACAACTAATGGACGTGCACGACAAGGAGCGGCTAGCTGCTAAGGGGGCAAGCATGAAGCACACCTTTCAATTTGTACAGTGCACAAGTTAAGGATGTGTGGAGCTTTACCTTTACTTCCCATATGTCTTCACAGTATGGAGCTTGAAAGAAGGACAACTGTGCCTTTTTTGCTTTTCATCATCCACCAATTTTCATCTCATTACCACTAACATGGCCGCAATGATGTTACATATTGAGGCCTGTAGACCCACTGCTAGGCAGTGACCATGAGATAGGTGACTGTAAAGCAGCTGTTGCTAGGCAGCAGCCAACAAACAACAGAGCCATGGTGTTTTCTATGCAGTCTGTTAACAACAACTGAACAGCAACAGAGGAACGGTGTTTTCTGTATGGCCCATGCTGAGTGAGATGTTATAAGCCTGATAATTAGTGACAGTAAGTTAGTTGAGTGGCGTGAGTTGGTTGGAGAGTGCGTGAGTTAGTTAGAGGACTGCTGCAGTTCAGTTCTTGTGGGATGCTGCTGTGAGAAGCTGGTAAGTGAGGCATGGGGACAGTTCAGGAACCCAGAGGAAGGGGAACATGTCGTTGAAAGCTGTTACCAGGCAACGACTGGTGACAACACGTGACACTGAGAAGACTTAAGTGTGTTCTGTAGTGAATTGCAGAGTGTGAAATAGTTGGTTAAATGTAATTACAAGCAGTGTGTATAAGCGTTCAATAAATTCAAACCTTGTCTACAGACACAAGCATACACAAGACAATATCAATGAGAACTCACTCTGGGACTCAAGCAGGCTGTTCTGCCGCTTGAGATCATCAATGTCTTGCTGGTGGGCAGAGTTCTTCCTCCTCATGAACTGAATGTAGTCAGCCGCCTTCTTCAAAATCAGTGCCCTGCTCACCTGAAACACAGGCTATTCCATCATAAAATACACATAAACAACAATCATGAGAAAATTCGATCTTCTACCAGTGCTTATGTTGAGCCAATTAAGGGTAACAATCCTAACATAGCAAGCAGCACCAGGCTCAGCATAAAGGTTCTGATGCAAAATTCCAGATAATAACAGTGATATCAATTAACAAATAAGGTACAAACTTACAATGACTTCAAAAAGTAACAACAATGTGAAAGGAGCCAATTATTTTGGAATATCAAGAAAGGAAAGAAAGTTGGATCTGAGGTTTTCACAGTGGTGACTATGAAAAGTATGGTCATCTGTGTTTGAATATCGTGTACCTTGGAAAACGCCTAATGTTTCAGGGGCACGATGGGTGTCACAACTCCAAAGGCTGTAACCTTCACAGAAAAGAATGTTTGCAGACAGTGTTCAACTAAAACATAACACAGCGTCACCCACTGCTCACCTCCACATAAATAAAGTGATAAAAGCATAATATTTGCTTGTGTCTGATGCCAGCTCTGACATGTGAAGGACACATGAAGATTTTCAGAAAAACAGTCTATTATAAACTGGAATCAAGAATAATATAAGAAATATTAGCCATGAAGATTGATATAATCCACATAGAAAACTTCAAAACTGTCTCAAAATTTCAGTCAACATACTAGGCAGACATTCTGCACACAACAATGCAACATTTCAGGTGAACACAGCTGCAGATTTCCTTACAATAATACACTGCCACACACTTGCAGTGGGCAAGAGAAAATTATATATAGGAATTAGGTGAACTGTAATACAACAAATATACTCACTTTTAAAGTTTTACAATTAGACCTTTTTTCTTCTGCTACATGTTTCGGTCATACAAGGCCATCATCAGGCACTTATATATAAGAATACATTTAGTTGTTGAACTACCAGTATGGATCCATACCAGTGCAATGTGTCATATTATATAATAATTACAGAAAATTTGCCTCAAGTTAGTAAATATTATAATTAAGTATAAAATAAATGAAAATCAAATAAAAATAAAATTAAAATGAAACATATATCATGTATCTAAGATATATTAGGTCATAAAAGTAATGTTGATTATATTACAGAAATATTAAAAATACTAAAAATATTTAAAAATATATTAAAACTATAAGTATGAAACAGTAAGAATATGTATGCTAAGTTAATTCATAAGGTTCCAATGCTACAGTGTGGTATAGGGCATGTTATGTGATTTGTTGATCATTGTGTTGTTAAAGCTTTCTACGTAGTAAAGCCTGATCGTGAAGCCCAGAGATGAGTTTCAATGATGTATAGGTGGTTAATATGTGATGTATTGGGAACGCATATTTCTGATATGAATTGTGTCATTATATGATTATAAAATATGAATTTAATTTGTTTCATTCTGGTCCATCACACTAACAGGTTTACAATTAAGTTTATTTCAGTCCAATGTGAAATATAACGCTTCCACCACTTTAGCACTCAGTTACCCAACATGTTTCGATTCATAATGAATCATCATCAGAGGTATGCCTCTACGATCAAGAACCAACTAATATGTAAAATTTTTTAAAAGTAGAAACACTTAAAATATTTTTGATGCTCACTATATGTAGTCGTTTATTTTAAGAATCAAACAAAGATCTCCATTAACTGTGACATATATCAAGGCCATGGAAGAAAAGTTAATAAAAGGCTTGACAAAAAAAAATTTTGGGCAATGTGTTTCAACAATAAATCAAGCATTGTGATGAGTGCTTCACATGCTGATCTTGGATGGTTACATATTCCAATACAGAACAAACATTTGGCTCATTACCTTCCGAACAGTATTGCACTACTGATTCAAAATACAAACAATTAATATGGTAACACAGATGACTTCATTATTAAATTTTTGCTAACTTCTAGGAACATAAAATCCTGCCCCAACTAACTAATTATCTGAAAACATTGACAATGAAACCGAAACTGTCCAGTAACAGAAAACCTTACCACTTTCTCCCCTTGTAATGCTGGAACTGATTCACGTAGACTGGAGAAGCTGTCCTTAATGTGGTCTCTACGCTTCCTTTCTAATGCATTGTGATGTGCTCGTTTCTCAGCCTGCAAAGAGGCACACATAAATTTGAATCATTACTCATCTAAACTGATATTCTGAGCGCTATTTGGATGTACACATAATGTCAGACAAGTACACAAAGGGTGCAGTGTAGTGATCAGCACTTGTACTTCATATTATGACGGTCAGCAGTTCAAACTTTGGCTAAGCCTTTACCCCTATATTTCTTCAGCCCTCCTTGCAAATGATATGACACAACCTTAAAATATCCAATTAACTGCTTTTTAACAACATCTTCCCAACTCAAAATTTATGATAATTCTCATTCCATGCTAAACAACCTTTATGCTTGATACAAAAAAGTAACGGATTTTTTCTTCAATATTACACGTTACCAATTTTAAAAATAAAGTCAAATTTTCTTATGATGGTCAGACGTTACATAAAATTCTATGAAGTCAAATTACCTGAGAGCTCAACAGCCTGATCATAAACAGACAGTTTACATTTATAATACCCATTCCATACAGTCTTAAATCTGACATTTCCATTACAACTATAATTCCACATGCTGAAAGATAATAAGCTGATAATGAACAATACAAAGAAATGCAAAGTGTGCATCACATTTAATGAAAGCAGGCCATTTTCATGCATATAAATAAAGTCAGCAGCAACACACATCATTCGCTGAAAAAAGATTATTGGTACCTATCACCTGAAACCTAACGGTTTAATTTCACCCCCTTTATTTGGATGTACAAGTTTGGAAGCTCGTTTTACTTTCTGAAGCCCCAAAATTGATAATTTATGCCAAAAATGTTCAGGAGCTATTAACATAAACACTTCTATAACGTCATTCTGTGTTATTCATTCATACCATGCTGCAAAACAAAAGTTATATGGAGAGAAGTTTGTTCCATGTCGGAATTATACTAAACTACCTACAAGAACACGCTATCAGCAAGTTAAAATTCTTTATTCCTTTGTGTTTGTATATCAGAACCGAACGCCTGACTACAGTGATTTGTGTAGCTACAGCCTTGAACTCTAAGTAATGTATATGAAAACATTATGTACAACTTACCATTTACGTGCCAAAATAGATACAGTTCTCACTTTTTTAGAGATGCTTGCAAGTCATAACAACGTCCAATAACAGCAGATAAAAATCATATTCATGTCAGTGTCTTGCTATTTTATACCTCCAACAAATTAAACACGGGAAACTCAAACTGAACTACCAAACACTCTTCCTACCTGCGATAAATATTGATTACTTGACTGCCGTGGCTGCCTCGAATCCGAATCTTCGTCTCCCTCCTAAAATTGTAGGCGCAAGATAAGATTAATTAACACAATGAAAAATAATTCAACACTTATTCTTCACATGTTTTTGTTATCTGAAACTTACAGACTACAAACTTACATCACTTTCAATATCAATATCCCTATCGTCATCACTCATCTTCCTGCAGCTGACCCACAGCACCAAACATCCAGCACCCAAGATGGCGTCCCACCCATGCACCCATGCGGTTTCCAACACGTGGGGATTGGTCGTACACTTTCGTCCACAAAAAAACAGGACTTCAAACTAACTTCGTACGGGGGATGCAACCGTCAGGCCACACAGTTCTCTATATCAGGTATCAATAACAATCTTACGGAGAAATTCAAAATGATAGCATAATTGTAAAATTCTTAATTTAATTACATTAGCTTAAATCTTAAAATTACCGTACACAGGTTTGCCACACTGCCAACATCGCCACGATAGATCTAACGAATCTATGAACAAATCAGAGTCGAGCTCCAATTTGCGCAAATGTTCTCGTGATATGAAATATATGGACCCTAAGAATGCTAAGAATCATGCAAATTAAGTATGTGACGTTTATATCTTAGTTGTATAATAAAACGAGAAGAGGATGACACCATCCGCTCTTGTAAATAAACATTCTCCTCCTATACCCAAATTTGACCTTTTACACTATACTCTGCGAATTCTTACACTGAAATCCACAGCTACTTGTATATAATGTATTTAAAGGCCACATATTAATAATCCTGCAATGGATTCTGTACAAAAATTACTACTGGACCCCAAGTCCAGTAGGGTTGCTTTAGGCATAAATATAACCTGCAATCTTCCCTGTCTCCATGTGACGTGAATGCTAGACAAAGGATATCTTAAAACTGGAGCTGCTAATGGACAAATTCAAAACATAGGAGATGCAACTATTTTAACGCTGGCTGCTAACCTCAAGAGGTGCCCACACTTCCCCCACTGCAGCAAAACCTCATGTTATGCAACTTGTGTCTCTATCACTGCACCTGCAATGACTACTGTATACATTCTGCTAACTGCCGAGTTAATCTGTTCTATTGCTGTGCCACACACAATTTAGACTCACCAAGTTCTGTCTCTTACAGTTTTCAGCATGGAGCACAATTCAGTGATACACTAGAAGTCTTCACTCTGCAATGTAATCTCAGGCACCCTGGTTTCAGTGAAATCCATTACAATTATCAGAAATTTGAGGTTCTCACAGTGGTTGTTTCTTGGATGTGACATGATGCAGTCTGGTAGATGACGTCTGATGTTCAGAAGCACATTCTACCTCTATCTTCATGTTGAAGAGTAAACCATGTAAGCATGCTACTTAGCTGGGCTTACTCTTGAACCTGAAGATGGAGGCAGTATATTCCTCTGAAATATCAGTAAACGTTTACCAGACTGTACAGTATCACATTCTAGAACACAGTACTATTCATTAAAATAATGTTATGAAAATTGGATATCTAGGGCTGAACCTAGTGCATATTGTATCAGCAACACACCTGCACCATGTTACAGATGATATTGAATACAAGCAGGATCACACCTGTAAGAAACATGTCTATTTGCACCCTAACTATTCTTCTACATTTGTAACACCACCCCATATAATGTCTGTAGTTCATACAGCAATATTAAGTGGACAAATATGTCACAAAGAAACACTGCATTTCAACTTGTTCTGAGAGATTACACTGGAGAAGGCTAGTAACCTAGCAACTGACTAAAATATTTTAATGAGGCAAAAGGTAAAGCTATCCCTATAACAGGCTGTGGGGGCCTATAGGGTTGTGAGATGTCAAGACTCTCACATTTTCTAGACATTCGGTTCACAGACAGTACTGAGGTTGTCAGTCTTATGTGCCAACCACCCTTTACCCCCAGGAAGATTCCTGGTACTAACTTCTCTTAGAGTTTGACTCAACCTCAGTGCCATAGTACAGCCGAAAGGATTAGGTCCACTGAAAAATCCAGTGACCTCACTGGAAATCAAAACCACAACCTTCCACCTTGGAGCATAGTGTGTCAACCAACTATGCTACTGCATGCGCCATTATTTTTTAATCATATCACCAATAATCTACTGATGACTTGAGTCACTGAATTTCTGAAGATAAGACTTTGTTCTTTCTTCATATGTCAAACATTATGTATGACATATCAAAACCTGCAGAAAATTGCTCGAGTCTGACAAATTCTGAAAATGAATCTCATTTCCTTCATTTACATGATGTCTCACTACTTAGCACAGGGAAACACTCTGCCATTTTAGGAACAGTATTTCTACATGCCACTTTGGTACCTTACAATTTGACTGCAGAATTTCCTACGAGAAAGAAAGGAACAAGGGCACTGCTACACACTGACAAAAAATATCAGGTTTCAACACATCAATTTGCACCATGAAGCTTCTCTGTTTACAAGACAGCATTTATAGATAAGAGTACTAATGCATGTACATAAAGAAAGTAAAATAGATAAATGATACAAACTCCGTCCTAAGTGCAAACAATATATATTATATGTCTTTGATCTTGTTCTTTCTACACTACATGTTTCGGCCTCTATCGGCCATCATCAGGTGTATACTCTTAACGTTGCTGCCACACTGAACCCAGTCTAAAATTTAACATTTAAAAACACAATGTCACATTCTTCGTATTATCAACATCTACATCGTTGATATGTGTCTGGTATGTAG